TATTACCATTTTCACATCTGCCTCCCCTTTGCTCATCCCTATTACCAACACATCACTTTGGCAACAGCTCTGAATCCTAACTCCTCCATCATCTACTCTCGACTCTCTCAACTTTGTTCATGTCTCCACCTCCCCAGCCACCCTCCCCAGGCCCAGAACACCTCCAGCTGTTCTTCCCAGTCTCCCTTGAATGCCAAAGGATCTTAAAGTACATTTCTAGCCTTCCCATTTAGAGTTAGGTAATAGACGCATGCACAGGTTCAAAATCCTTTTGCAAGTGTCAATGTATCCAGTTATAAGAGATGCACAAGAGGGCCCACCTCACTCTGGAGCCCATAGGCTTTCTTGGCCCAGAGTGTCCTCATGTCTTCAGGCAGCACTGTGAACTTGTGCAGTTTCTTCCTGTAGTCCAGGTCACTGGCGAGAGCTTGGGCCTTCTTCGCTTGTCTAATGTTCACCATATCCATGGGCAGATGAAAGTGGGTCTTACTCTCTTCAAAGCCTTTCTTATACTCAACCTTGAATGTACAAAAACAAGGTCTGTTACTTAAACCCTGCTCTTGCAGGGATGGGTGGTATCAAAACACAGGAAAGAATGCTGGGCTTTAGTGGGGAATTGGCACTGCACGGAAAACCACTCAACTGTGGGAAAGGCATGACTCGATTCCTGGCTCTGCAAGGCAGCACTGCTGGGAGCTGAGATTCCACATCACTTTGTCTCTGGAAGGAAGGCTTCTCACTGGCCCTACTATTTTCCCCTGGATCTCAATCAGAATAATACTCTATTCACAGTTCCTGGAAGAGCTTTGACAGGCATAATAACAAATCCTGGTTCCAGAGCCAGACAAGTCTGAGTCCAAACCTGGGCCTGCCCTTTACTAGCTGGGTGACTGCTGGAAAGTTATGTCACCTCTCTGAGTGCTCATTTATTGTAGTAAGTAAATGAAATAGTAGCTGAAACATGCTTAGTACAGAGACTAGCACCTAGCAAACACTTGATCGATGTAAGCCATGAGGACAAAGGTGATGGTGATGACAGTGGTAATGGTGGTGGTAATGGCAGTGATGATGATGGGTATCATGGTGACAATAGAGATGATGGTAGTAATGATGGTGATGATGTGGATAATTATGGTGATGGCGGTGATGATGATGGGTATGATGGTGACAATAGAGATGATGGTGGTAATTATGGTGATGATGGCGTGGATGATGATAGTGACGGTGGTAATGATGATGGGTATGATGGTGATAATAGGGATGACTGTGGTAATTATGGTGATGATGGTGGGGCTGATAGTGATAGTGGTGATGATACTGGTAAAGGTGATGGTGAGGACAGTGGTGACAATGATGGTGGTGATGGTGATGATGGTGGGAATGATGGTGGTAACAGTAATTATGGTATGGTGTTAGGGAAAGGGCATGTGCTATCATAGGAGTATAGGAGCCCATAAGGAAGAACTCTAGAGTCTAATTCTCTACCACTCTATCACTACAATTGACAGTCATATGAACTTGGGCAAGCACAGTCTTTCTGTCCTCAGTTGCTCTAACTGCAAGCATGAAATACCAATGTGCCTTCTGTCTAAACACATTTAGATATCTCTTTATATTTTAAGACCATGCACTTCATGGGACTTGTTCTGTAGGCATATTCAAACTGACAACCCAGATGCAACTGTACAATTCTATTCAAGCCATGGCTCCTAATGACTCATAAAGTGATTACATTCAACTGCTCCATCGGAGCAGCACATGCCAGGTCCCTACACCTTGGAGTAAACAATTGGCAGGTAGAAACCCAACACTCATGTGTCCATTTTGCTTGGTCAGCATTGGCAGGGAAAAGTTGGTTAGAAACCAGGTCTCTCCCTTGTAGCAGAACGCTCCTTCACCAAAGGCTTTTGGGAAAAGCAACATTCACCACATCTACCAAGGTTAATCTCCAACCATTACAACTATTTACAAGGCAGCTTCATTTTGATTAGCTGGAGCCTGGACTGGCCTAGTTTTTTGTTGAATATTCTGAACACCACTCATGTCTCTGACCACACGATCCATCCATGCTCACTGTCTTACTCTCACATAGAGTTAAGCTCTGTTATAAAGAACCTGTTACATGTTGCTCTTTCTTATAGCCCCTGTGTCTTGCCCATAATACTTGCTCACTCAACATCTATGACATGAACAAACGTAATACCTTGATCAGTAGATGCTGGTCACTCTTAGGACCACACACCTCATCTACTTGAAAAGAATGGTTATGCTTTGGCAAAGCACAGAAACTGAAAAGGCTGCTCATACAAACCAAGGAAAAAAGAGGTGTCAAGTGGATGGAAGTCAATGAAAAGGTAAGAGTCCCAGGTAAAGTAGGCCCAGAAAAACATTTAAAGTAACACAAGTAAAAGGTGGGGAAGTAGAAAGAAGCTTACCTCACTGCTCATCTTGGCAACCTGCAGCGAGTGCAGCAGCCTGGAGTCAGTGGTTCCCATGACTTTGCCTTTTGTTTTTTCGTATTCTTCTTTGTATTTAATCTTGAGAAAAAGAAGAAAGGCTACTGTGAATGGAAGAGAAACTTTTCTATCTAAGGCACTCTGGTTTTAACAAGTGCAAAGGGAACGATTCTGAAAAGACACCTCCCAGTCTTTCACAAATCCAGGAGAAGATTAAAGCATCGTGATGTTTACAACGTTAACAGTCATTATATTTTTCTGCAGGACCACTGACATTTTATTGGAACCATGGCTTATGCATTGCCGAGTTAATGAGAGAAAACTTACGTTGCTAGCAAGCTCCCCAGAGGCTTTGGCGCCCAGCAGAGACATAGCATCCAGCTTCATCTCAAATCCTTTTCCCTTTGTCTTCTCCCAGCCTTCTTTGTACTTAACCTGACAAACAAAAACATAGGTGAGTAGGAGCCACTATCCGTATCCTTCCCAAAAGTTGAAGAGAATATACATTTTTCAAAAGCAAAGTTGTTCTGTTTCCTCATCTGTTTGCAGAATAGAATCATGGCTTTGTTGATCAAATGATAATAGTAATGATTAGCACAGTTAATTGACTCCTTAGCTGTAGGGCCGTGCAGGGTAGTGGTGATGGAACCAAAGATTCATGTGCTTATCCTAGCGGTTTCCTCACCATTTGATCACGGACAAAACACTTTACCTCTCTGGGCCTCAGTTTACCCACTGTAAAATGAATATCATTATCTGCCTAATACGAGGATTAGTATTTTAAAGCAGATAAGTACAATAAAGACATAAGATACTGATATTCCTGTGGTAATAATTAAAAACAAAACAAAGGAAAAAAAAAACCCACAAATCAGTTGCTGGTGAGTCAATTCAATTCGACGTATGGTGACCCACGTGTTTCAGAGTAGAACTGTGCTCCATAGGGTTTTGACGGCTGTGACCTTTTGGAACCAAATTGCTAGCCCTTCCTTCCACACTTCTGGGTGGATTTGAACCACCAACATCTCAGTTAGTAGTGAAACACTTAACTCTTTGCACCATGCAGGGATCCACGGTAATAATACATATCATTTACTGGCTCCTTCTAAGTGCTTTGTACTCATTAATCCTAACTCTTAAGCCTGAGAGGCTCAAGACATTACAGACCTCACCCATGGCCACACAAGTTAAAAATGTCAGTGCTGACATCCGAACCCAGGTTCATCTGATGCCAAAGCTCATGTCATTAACTGTGTCCCTACAATACCTCCTGAGGG